CAAGAAATTATCGACTAGTAAACCTTGAATTTTTTAAATTGGTTAAAACAATTATTAATTATATTAATTAGCCAGCCTGGCTTCTGTAAATCACATGTCACTAATTGAGTTCTCTGAAGATGTCCATGAAGTAGTGAATAAAGGAGAACATTCTGACAGTTCAATACCTTTCAAAGGGTCTCTAACACAGTCCATCGCCAAAAAGCTATTAAAGAAAATAAGTAATCTTAGAAGATGGGACTGGGTCACTATGTCCAGCTCTCTACATTAGTGTGATCTCTGGGGGCCTTCTGGGTAGCATGGCCTGCCACGACTTTGATGTTAAGCTGTCAACAGAGGGGGTTCAGTGGAGATCTTCTTGGGAGGGCTTCCCAACAATGGCAGAACTCATGATTATTCGGCGCAATGTTCCATGGGGCTCCAACTCCCCTACACCCCGTCCACTTGCCAACCAGATAGGTGATGGTACGATGGTGGTTTCAACCCCGCAGGCTTGCTCACCACCTGCTTCAGGTGGGGGGGGGCATCCGCATCCGAGTGGACTCAGTTGGCTCTTGTCCTTCCGACCTTGATGCCTCAACCTCCTCTCTCTAGCTCTTTGATTTTTTTTCCCTTTTCTTTTGTTTTCTTTAGAAGAAATATTCTCCTGGGGCAGACAAGGATGCAGAGCCGCCTCCTTTTCCCCAGCCTTCTACAGGGGGCTCAAACGCTGCCCCTTCCCTACCTCCTACAGGGAACGTCAACACTCCCCCTGGGCTGTCTTCTGCAGGGAGCTGTAGTGTTTCCCCTGCTCTACCTCCTACAGAGGGCCAAAGTGTTTCCCCTGCTCTGCCTCTGGCAGGGGGCTCAAAGATTTCCCCTGCTCTGCTCGCCGGTGCTGCTCCGGCTGTACCACTCCTCTTCCCCACAGGAGCCTCAGCACGTCTGATGTGCTGCCCACCTTCTCTCTCTTCATCTGGCTCCCCCCTTCCACAGGGTCTGTCGGGGCTTTTAAACTTCCGCGCGGCAGCCAGTACAGCCGGTGCGATTGGGTCCAGCTGTTCCCCGTGCAGGGAACAGCTGATTAAACAGCCGGCATAATGCTGGCTCACGTGACTGCGGTCCCAGTTCCTGTGCTGCCGGTCCAGCAGGAGGTAGGTTTTCCTTGTGGGGAGTCTGTTGCAGGGTTTTGGGACCCGCAGAGCTCGCCTCCGCTCCTTTGAAAACCTGTGGGGGCATCGCCGCTGCCACAATTAGCAAGCAACCATTTACACAAAGAAGCCCCAAAATTACCACTTTGAATCCTCATGCGGATGCAACAGCAAAACATAAACACCATCCTGTAAAATGATCATATCCCCTTCTCAATCTCCATTTTGCCAAACTAAACAAGCCAAGCTCCACACACAGTATTCTTAATAAACTCTTCTTAATGTCTTGTGCAATAAATAGTATTAGCACCTTCTTGGATCTACTGCATGCATCATGACTGATCCACCTTTTTCACAGGTGCATGACTGGGGCAGCTCATAGTCATCTTATGATCAACCAATATACCACGTCATACTCCTCCTCATGTGTCTCCAGACTGTACACCCTCATCTTATAGTTGAAATCTAAGGGGTAAAGGCAAAATACCATCATGAATCAGGCACTGGACAAAATAAAGGAAACAGTAAAAATGTGCTCAATTTTTATCAGTGAGAAAGGTTAAACAGCCAGGTGCTTCCAGATTCTGTGCTAGGGCCAATGTTATTATTTGTTAACAAGCCAGAGTCCCTCTGGTTCTCACCTACAGTTCCCAGCCTCATCACCTTAGACATACCATTAATGACCTTCAGTCCCTCCTGGGAAAGGATAAGCATCTCTAACTAGTCATGGGGGACAAACTGGTCCTGATTTACAGGCTGTCCCCCAACCTCAAACAGCATCTCTCAAGCAACAGGCTAACTGACAGCCTCACTATGGTACCAGGCTTTGAAACAGACCCAAGTGCCTTCTGTGTCCCAACATCAATACAGACTGCTTCATCATTGGATCAAATAACATGGATTACAGCATCCAAGGTTCATTTACTTGCAATTCTACCAATGTCATATACACCATCATGTGCTTACAGTGGCCCTCCACCATCTACATTGGACAGACTGGGTGATCCCTACATGACAGAATGAATTAATATGGATATGACATCATTTGCAGAAAGACACACAGGCCTGTAGCAGGACACTTTAACCTCCCTGGACTTCCATTACTGACTTGAGGGTGGTTGTTTTTACACAGCAAACTTGTAAATACCAATTTGAACAGGAGGAAACTGCAAAACAAGTAGTCATCCACAGACTGGATTAAGTATGGTTTAAATGGGGACTACAGATTCTTATCCCATTACCTGGATTAGTTTTTACTATTCCTGTGTTGCTATGGGTTTAAAGTTTGTTTGTTTGCCTCTCCCAGCACTGCTCCCCCAGGATCTAATGAAGTGAACTTCATCTCATGCAAGCTTGTGCTATATATTGTATTTCACACACACACACACACACACACACACTCACTCACTCACTCTCTTACTTTGGCTAGTGTGGAAAGTACAAATCTACCCTGCTTTCTACTTCATTTCAGACTAACACAGCTAAATCTTTTTGTTGTACAGTACAGCCAGCAGGGGGAGCAAGATGACTAGACAGAGATCACTTCTGTCTCCCAGAAGTTTTCCAGCAACTGCTTCTTCCCAAAGCCATATATAGCTATAACTTGAGCTATTTTTAGACCTACTGACAGACTGTAGTCCATCGGTATGAAGAGTCTTAGAACAAAAGCTACTTAGAAATTTGCCTGTATTATTTGTGGCATGAGCTTAAGATCCAGGGGGTCCTGTTTAGGAGCGCATGGATAAAGCTGTTCTTGGCCAGTACTGAGAGCTGATGATTAACCAACCAACCATATTGGCCAATCTGATAATCAATATTTAGCAATAGTGCAAGGCAATTTAAACTACTGACATAAACCTTTTTTTTGTTTTGTTTTGCATTTATAATAAACACACACACATGCATCCTGCCTGCTCCAGCTCTCAATGAGGAAGGCAGTGACCACCTTATTCCCATGCAAGTTTCCCCCTTGCCCACAGCTCCTATCAACAGCCAGGCATGGCAGACCCTTGCATGGAGAGCAGCACTAAGGGCTTTTGGAGCCCCAAAGCATGCCACTGCCTCAGTGCTAGCAGGCCCTGTGCAGACAAGCTTCCAGTTGCAGGGGAGAAGCCACTTTTGCAAAGGTGCCAGGTGCCCAGCATAGCGGAATGTCCCTCACGTGGCACTTTACCCCACCCTCACACAGCCCAATGTCTCCACGGCAGCCCCAGCACTCACACCTCTGCTGCATGTACAGCATTGCCATGGCAGCAGCAGGAGTCAGTAACGACCCCTTTGTTGCTGAGTGCAATGACCTGTGATCATTCCCTAGTGCCTCCTCCCCCTCTCGCTGCTTGCTGGGACCTAAAGTCGGCTGTGCTTGCCAGGATACTCTGGGAACGCAGCTGTAATTATCAGCTAAAACGACCAAAAAAAGCCGATAGCCAATAACATCATTTCCCCTTCTATCAGTTGCAATCCGACAGCCAACCAACATATTGGTGCACCCCTAGTCCTGTTGCCAGTTAATGTTGAGTAAAGCACTATTAAGCTGGGGCCAATGATTAAGTAGACATACTACATGTGTCACTATGGCAACATGATTTAGTACTTCCTTTTGGAAGTACTAAATTTTGGTGCAGTAACAGTCCATATATATGGCACAGTTATTTTTAGCAGCTACTTCACTGTAGTGGCCCACTGTACCAGGGTAGCACATCACTATGGTGAAGTAGATGCTAGTCACGTGTAGATGTGCGTGGATGCTACGTCACTGTAGCGCTTTGCTACAGAGAGGCAGCATCATGTGTAGACGTGCCCACTGATAACAGGAAACTATAGATGCAGATCCAGAGGCAGATTTTTGTGGGTGGTATCTTTTATTGGACCAACTGCAGTTGGGACAGATGTACCCACATATCTAAAAGCATTTTGGTCGCTTTATTCACCCCAGCGTGATGTGCCCATGGCTTCAGTGCATCACCCAGATTCATTCACGTTTTTAAGTTTTTAATGTCAAACCTAACAGCAGGCACAAGGATTCACGTGCTCAGGACAGCTGAAGGGTGGGAAACTTGGCTGCGGCAGGGTGATGCTGTCAGCCTCATTCACACAAACCAGGAAATCGACAAAAAGCTATGGACAGCAACTTAGAAAGGCCTCAGGTGGGAAAAGCAATGTTGGTAAGGGCAAAGTTAGACACCACGCTTGGCCCCATGAAGGGCACGCAAGAGCCCCCACGTTAAAGCCCTGTAAGGGTGTGAAGCACCTCCCACGCCTCGCAAAGCTGCACCCCTTTCAGGGGAGGGTGATCTCTGGGCCACCTCCAGGCAACTTCATGGTTCCATGGACATTAAAACAAGGTATTTGCGGCCCCCCAGCATCCCAGGATGCACTGCTCCCAGCCCCCACACCGATCCCGGTTCCCAGTCACGCCCCTGTCGTGCCGAGTCCGGGCGCTGCCAGCGATTACGGCATTAACCCTTGCCATGCCCGGGCTCGCACAGCATCTAACGGTAACACAGGCTCAGCGCGGTCCCAGGGCAGCGGGGAAGCGCCCGGCCCGTGCCCCGCGCGGCGGCTGCCGGCGCTTACTGCTCGTCCGCATCCAGTGCAGCAGGCGAGGCAAGTCAGCCGCGCGCGTGGCCCGCAGCACCGCCAGCACCGC